TCCTAAACTATGGATGATGAAAGGACAAATCGAAGAACAAAAAAATCGTTTGGATGAAGCGGCCGAGACCTACACTCAAGGTATTAAAAAGTGTCCAACATCTATACCGTTGTGGGCTCTTTCTGCTAAGCTTGAAGAACGCAAGGGCACGCTTACAAAGGCGCGTTCTATACTAGAGCGTGGACGCTTGCGGAATCCGAAGACTGCAATGCTATGGTTGGAAGCGATACGCATAGAATTGCGCGCTGGCTTAAAAGAAATTGCCAGCACAATGATGGCGCGTGCATTGCAGGAGTGCCCTAATTCAGGTGAGCTATGGGCAGAGGCGATCCACATGGAATCGAAGCCGCAGCGCAAAACGAAGTCAGTTGATGCGCTCAAGAAATGTGAACACGATCCGCATGTGCTGCTGGCTGTTTCAAAGTTGTTCTGGTCAGAACATAAATTCACGAAATGTCGCGACTGGTTCAATCGTACGGTAAGTGTTGGTGGAAATAATAGTAAATCCTTTTTTTATTTTTTAATAAAAATAAACTTTTTTAAATTGTTGATAGGTTAAAATCGATCCCGACCTAGGCGATGCTTGGGCATATTTTTACAAATTCGAGATGCTGCATGGTACGGAAGAGCAACAGAAAGAAGTCTTAGAGCGTTGTGTAACAGCTGAGCCGAAGCATGGCGAGGCCTGGTGCAGAGTGAGCAAACATATTAAAAATTGGTGCTTCAAGACACCAGAAATATTGAATGGCGTGGTTAAGCAATTATCAATACCAGTATAAATTTTAATTTAAGAACTTGAAACTTTTAGAATTTATTCGTTAAATCCATACGATGAAATTAAAAAGTGTATTCACAAATGCAAAAGTAATACAAAAAATAATTGGTATACAATTAATGCATTGAATATTAAAAGCGACTAGTCACTACATCCACTATCGCCTCACGCAACGTTTTCAACTTCTTGATTTTGGCAACTAATTTTTCGGCATCCAAACAATTTTCCGGCATACGTGCAGTTTGCTCAAAATCGCGTTTTGCATCGCGTAAGCGCTTATGAATTTCCTTTGGCTCGATTAAAACACGGCCGAACAATTCAAAGTCGTTTGAGAGCGCTGCAGACAATAACGCAGCATTTTCTTTGGAGAACTGGTAATTATAGCCAGTACCCTGCCGCTCATAAGGAGCACGCAGCAATAGCGTGTGAGTCGGTGAATGTACAGGCTTATTCAAATCAAATTCTTGATTTGCATCCAACTCGCCTTCAGTTAGTGAGCATTCATTCAACTGTTGAAATAAATTGTAAGTTTTTACACAAAATGTACAATCGTGTTAACTAACATTTCGCATACACTCACCATTTGCCGCAGCTGGCGCGCTTGTTTGACCAGTATGAAATCTTTCCCTTCTTTCGGCTGGCGGTTAAAGCCTATACGCCGATTAGCTGGCATGCGTACGTAACCAGTAGAAGTCCGCTCATATTCCGGTTGCAACTTTAGCAGCTCAAACATTTGCATTTGTGTAGCGGTCAGCTCATAGTTTTGTATTTTCGGCAGCACTTTTTGCAGAAAATGCTCACGTAGCTGCTCAGTTGAATAGTCAGTGAACTTTTCAGTATTATTCCAACTCGCTGTGTGGAAATCATTCCAAGTTTCTTCACGTTCGGCAAAAAGTAACCGACTGGAGGTTGTTACATACTGGATTAAAGCCTGGTCTAGCTCCGCTGTGTTTTCACTAATGTCGATTGATGCATTTACATCTGTTACTGGCGACTGACTGCCGTGAATATCATACATTTCTACGTCCAATGGATCCATTTTTAGTAATTTTATTAAGTTGTGGAATTTTGCAAATGACTGAAGACTGCTTGCTATTTCTTTAAAAAACGCGCGCAATTTTTGACATCACAGAAAACGGAAACGACAAATAAAGCAATCGTTGCTAAGTTATTTCCCTTTTTTTGAAATTCCGTGTTCCGAGGTTGCATTTTTGGGAGCGAAAAGTCGCAAACCTATCCGGGCGGGTAATGTGTAATATTGGACAGCAGATGTCGCCCAAGCCATTAGTACATACAGCTGTGTTCAAAAAAATAATATAGTGCCAGAGCCAGAGAACGTTTAAAACAGAGAAGCAGCAATTACGAATAGCCGTGTGAATTGTCAAACACTACCAAAATCGCGAAAATAGAGAGCGGAAAATTAACAGATCTGAGCGGCAAGTTAACAGAGCTGAGCGGAGATACAATTTTGTTAATTTGTATCAATGTTAAGTATTTTGGTTTGGATTTTCTTTTTCGCGGCATTGATTTAATAAAAAAAAAGATTAAAATTCTTGGTTAAATTAATGAAAATTAATTTACTAAAACATATGCCAGGGAATGCTTTAACTCCAAAACGTAGATTTGTTATCTAATAAATATGTGAAAGCTATGCAAATATGCAAACTCATTGGTGATTTGCCGTCGGCATTTGGGTCGCAAAAATCGTTTTTTTTTTTTTTAACGATTCTTATTGTAGTTGCTGCGCTATTTTCAATGCAACAAACCCCAGTTTTCTAGGTGCCTTAGTTTTTTCCCAAACTCACTTTAAAGATGGACACATTGACAAAAACGTACAAAAGCAGCAATTGCACTTGTTAGCAAAGTGGTTTTTCTCGAAAAGTTATGTTTGAGTTTTGTGAACAGTTATTTCGAGAAAATATGCCATATGCATATAACCTAAGCAAATACCTTTTCTTAAAATCTCAGACCTTTTACTCGATTTGTTCAAATAAATTTAAGTGAAAGTTATGAAATTTTAGTTTAGCTTAGTTTTTATGCATACGGACCAATGTGTTGAATGATGATTTTTCACTGCAATACTCGTGTTACATGTAAATAATGGGGCTCATTCATGGTCAAAATAAAGTTGACACTAAAGTTAGTTACAGCTTTTTCACATCATTTTAAGTGGAATAGGTATCTGTGAAAAAGCTGCAACTAACTTCCTATTAGGCATTTTAGTACACACAGATGCGATCAACTAATTAGCAACGAAATTAAAAATGATATTGTTTGCGAATTATGTTTATTTATTTATTTTTAATAATTTCCTTTAAAACATTATTCAATCTATAACAGAAACCACAATAATAAAAGTTTAAAAGCTTGCACAAATTGCATACAAATTAATCTAACTTCAAAAAAAATTGTTATCAAGATTTCAATTTTTTTATTTTGAAATTTAGAAAATTTTCGGGTATGCGGCTTTGCAGCTCATTCAATGAAGTACACTAAAGTGCAAGTTTCTAGTCATTAAAAATTACCGTTGAATTTTTAGAATTTTTTTTGTGGAGGGTGTTCGCATTTTCTTCCATATAACACATAATCACAATTTTTTTTGTATGAAAAAAAAGCAACACCCCCACAAAAAAAATCTATAAAATCAATGGTAATTTTTAACAACTTGAAACTTGCACTTTCTTATACTATAATTGAATGGACTACAATACTGCATACCCGAAATTTTTTTAAATATTCTAATTAAAATTTTGGATGACCATTTCTTGAAGTTTGATTCGGTTTTTTGCAATTTGTGCAAGCTTTTAAACTTGTATTATTGTGGTTCTTGTTACAGATTGAATTATATTTTAAATTAAAATCATTAAAAATAAATAAACATAATTTGCAAACAATATCATATTGAATTTCGTTGCTAATTAGTTGATCGCATCTGAATGTATATATGTATGTACATACTTACATATGTACACATGTACCCAATACACATACTCCAAAATCATTTATTGATAACGTTCTTGCACATGCACATAATATTACATATATGTATGTACATACTTACTAACTTTCTTCCTATTTGGGGCTGACAAACTTTAACTTAAGAGTCGACTTTATTTCGTCTACTAATATGCCCCAATAGTTTTGGAGTCAAATGAAAATGCATTTTCTACGCATACGTATGTACATGCTCCATTAATTGATAACGTTTTTGCATGCATATATATGTATGTGCATATTACTGCCAAAAAAACTACGAACATGCATATAAATGTACATATGTACAAATCACGGCAGCATACATACATATATATGCACATAATTACACGTATACTCAAATACAACAATAACTATTTCATTCATAAACGCATTTGCATATTTCTCAAGGCCAAGTAAATTCATTCATAAAAACAACCGCAGCACATCTCCCCGCAAATTCATCACCAACAAGCGCAACTTTGTCAATCCGACACAAAAATTCTAAAATCTTAAAATGAAGAAATCTCGGCCAGCCAAGTGAAAA